AACTCAGATCCTCATGAACATTAAGCAAGAACTCTTTCACTGGGCCACAGCACCAACACTTTCACACTGCTTTTAGTTGACTTGAAGATCATTGATTTTGGAGCAATATATTAGTGTACTCACTTTGCTGCACATGGCGGCTTTGACTGAAGCCACCTGAAGCAGTTAAAACTGCTGTGAAACTTGCCCTTCACTATCCTCGTCAGTGAAGGTTGACTTCCACTTTCTTCCTCTGTTCTCCAATGAAAGATACCTAACTACAAAGCTAGCTTTTCTTGGGAAAAGAAACGGAAGGAATGAGGCATAAAACCTTCTACTCAGTAACTTTTCTTCAGATTTACAGAATACAGGATATCTGAACCTTACAGATAAACTCTATGTGTCAGAAAATGAGATTATCTAAAATTTGTGACTGTTCCGGCATTTCTAACTACCCTGGCACTCATCTATCTGATATAAACCCCAAATATCTCTATGTAAGCCTCATGCCTGTAACATCTAAGCAGGGTAGTTATTGGTAATGACCTCCATTGTCTTTGGCGTGCTAATTTTCCAAATAAACTTTGTCCCAACAACTTGTCCTGGAGTCATTGGCCTTTCAAGCATCAAAAACCAAACTTGAGTACAGTAACAAAAGAAAGGGAAGTGAGCACTTTGGCGCCATAGATCAAGTGGCGGTGAACAGTCATAGGACTCCTCACCCCTTCCTGTTTCCAGGCTTTACTTGGCATTCTGTTTTGTATGTTTGTTTTGTTGTTGTTTGTTTGAGGCAGGGGCTCCCTGTAGCCCCAGCTGTCCTGGAACTCCCTATATTGACCAGGCTGGCCTTGGTCTCACAGAGATCCACCTACTTCTGCTTCCCAAATGCTGGTATTAAAAGCATGTGCCACCATACTGGTCCTGCTTTGTATGACGACCTGATAGGTACCACTTTCTGTGCTCTCTCTCAATCTGATCAAGGCATAGTGGAGACATTTAGTTGTGTTTTTAGTATATTTGAGTGGAAGCTTTTGGGGCTACCCTCTAACATAAGGTCAGAAATAAGTGGAATGAAATACAGAGGGGAGCTATGATGGGAGAGTTCCACTTAGGCTGAAAGGACACTGGGAATGCATGATGGAGCACATGGGTTTGGCTCTAGAAGGGCAGGGATGCACTTCAGAATTGAAAGGTAGCATTAAGAGATGGGCCTGTGGAGTAATGACACTCAGAATGGAAAGTTGTCCACAGACTGTCTAGATTTTTTTGAAAACTAGAACTTATCTTCAAAGATCATTAATAGTGAAAAAGTGACTCCACTTTTCTGTGAACCTTGGATAGTGTGTGTGTGTGTGTGTGTGTGTGTGTGTGTGTGTGTGTGTGTATGTGGGGAGAGAGAG